TTTCTCTGTGCATTTCATTCTAAGTATGTACAAGTTTGACTTGATTTCTGGGTTATCAAAGAGTATGGTCTGCGATGCCCAATCTTTGGAATTTGTTGAGACTTGTTTCCTTGCCTTAATCATGATAAAGTGGCTTATGAAAAAATTGTGTTTTCTAATCGTCAGATGCTAAATCTTATACATATCCCTCCCTACATTTTATTTCTCAATTGTATTGTTAAAATCTTCTGTCTTTCCAGTAATTGACAGTTGTTTTTAAATCCCCCAATATAATGTTGTATTTTTCCATTTCTCTGTGTATTTTCATCAGTTTTTATATGTAATTTTTGGTGCTATATTCTGTTAGGTGCATTCAAATTTAGAATTGTTAAAATCTTCCTTGTGAGTTAAACCTTTTATCACTATTCTTTGTCTCTAATAATGATGCTTGTCTATTGTCTTATTTTCATCCTTTCTATAAGAAAGCATGGGTTTTTCAGAAATGCAATTTGCAATCTGTTTTTAAAGTAATGAGTTTAATTTGATTATGTTTATTTTGATTATTGACATATTTGGACTTGTTTCTATCAAGTACTATTTTGATGTGCCCCAACTTTAAAGCACTAGCTCTAATCTCTTAGCTGATTTATATACTATTGTCCAAATTTCATCTCTTTTTAAAATTATTGTCACGAATTAAACACTCTTATTATTTTATACAATATTTATTTTCATTTACCTTTACATTTACCATTTATTTTATGCATTTTTTATATCTCAGCCAATTTGGGGGGATCACTGCTTTCTTAAAGAGTTGTCTTTAGAAATTTCTTTTTCAGCATTTAGATTTGGTGGTAAACTCCTCATTTATTGCTTACTGTTAATGTCTTTATTTGTTGGACACACGATTCTAAACCAGCTATTTTATCTCAAAACTCTAATAATAGTCTACGGCCACACCACCCTGAACAAGCTGGATCCCCTCTGATCTCGGAAGCTAAGCAGGGTTGGGCTTGGATGGGAGACCACCTAGAAACACCTAGTGCTGTAGGCGTAAAAAATAAAAAGAATAAAATAAAATAAAAAATAAGGGATTGTAAGCTGACAAGATCCTTGCAATCTGTGAGGTCAACCAAGGGTTGCCTTACCAAAAAAACAAACAAAAAAACCTCTAATATTATTCCATTGTCTTTTGGTTTTCATTGTTGCTATTGAGAATTCTGCTTTCTTTCTAACTGTTCTTCCATTTTTAGCAATCTGTCTTTTGAACTGCTTTTAAGATCAAGATCTTTTTGCTTTAGTGTTCCGTAGTTTGATTATAGTGTTTCTGAATAGGGTTTATTTATTTATTTATTTTTGTTCTGCTTGGCATACATTGTATTTCTTAGATTGACTGACTCATTTCTAGAAAAATTAAGCCTTCATCTTTCTAATTCTGGAAATTTTAGGCCTTTATCCTTTTGAATTTACATTTCATCTGTTCTTTCTATTCTGGATTCCCATGAAACAAATGGTAGACCTTCTCATTCTATTGTCTGTGTCTCTTTTTCAGTTATATTGTACATTTTATCTCTACTACGTTCTTAATTCCCTTGATAGCTCATTCAGTTCACTTCCTCTGTGTCCACTCTGCTATTTAATCCATCCATTGTCTTCTAATTTCAAGTTATATTTTTTATTTCTAGATGTTCCATTTTCTTTCCTTCAAATCTATTTAGTTGTGATATTTTTTATTGTGTGCTCATCTTTGTTATTGTGTTGTTTGTTCTGTAAACATTTTATACATAGCTGTTTCATAAAATATTTATTCTGCACCTGAATCTGATATCTGTTCTTGTCCTGAAGGGGTAGGAGATTAGGTGTGTGTCATGGGGAGGGGGGTCTTATACCCAGAATGGCTTGCTTTCTGCTGCCTTCATGAATTTATTGATTGATCTTATTCTATGGAAGTCCAGTAGACCTAACTTATGAAGAGGATTTGCTTCTACTTTTGCTTAGAGCTAGAAAGGCACTGCTGACATGGGAGTACATCAGGGCCCGTGTGGGTGTAGGGGAGGAAATATTCTCTGTGCTCTTTGGGTCTCTGGCTAGGCCCAAGAATTAAACTGTTATAAGACAGATTAACAGAAGAAAAGCATACCAGTTTTACCAAATTTTTTACATTTAAATTGGACCCTTTACAAGAGAATGAAGACCCAAAGAAGTGACCAGAGCATGAAGCTTTTATACCTTTTAACAAATAATAAATTTGTGAAGAATCGACAACACAAAGAGGTTTGGGATAGGTGTAGTAAATGATGAAGAAAATAACAAGGTTTGTTTATACAGATTTATTGGCCCCAAATTCCTTGTCTCTGGTGATGAGAATGTCTTCCTTCCTCCTGGTACAGGGAGAATACCTTTCACATGGGAGTTTATTTTCTGCTTTCAGGAAGAAAAAGGAGAGTCAGAGTGTCCTTGTACCTGCCGTTTCTCAAGTGCCTTTAATTTAACGTAGCCAAAGTGGCGTTTTTAGAGTGGCATATTCTGCATATGGATTTTAGCCCAGAGAGAAAGCCATAAATTCAGCCTCTTACCTCCAAAGTTAGTCTTCCTACAGGGATGTTGTTACAGGGATCTTGTCTCAGGGTAGCTTTGGCCCTCCCAATTTCTGATTGCTCCTATTAGTTCTTTTCTCCTGCTCAGGTTCCCTCTGTTCCCATCATGCCTCACAACTACCCTAGGTTTTGGGCCATCCAGTCTCTCTGGGTCTGTTACATACTTTGCTTATTTTTTGGAGGGACAGAAGGGGACCTTGGAGACTCCCTCTCTCCTTTGAGACCAATGATGTCTCAAAGAATATATCCAATCTAGGATCTAATTTTTATGACAAGGATGGGTCTCTCAAAGTTCCTAGTACATGTACCTGACTTCACATAATAAATGTTACTAAAAAGTTTAATTTATGTTTTCAAGTACACTATTTTAGTTTATTATTTTATAGAACCCTATCGTGAAGCTGTTTGGATTCTAGGAATTTGTTGGTACTAATAATTACACCATAGTTTATCTACTCAGTAGGTTCTAATTAAGATAGAAATGAAGATTCCTAATGATTATTATTGAGATGCTCTTTAATATTTAAGAGAATATGAAACCCAGAATATCTTTTAAAGTGGGCAAAGAATGAAAATTCAATAATGTAAAAAGTGCTGTAGGTAATTCTGGTTTCAGTAAATGTTGAATGACCAAAATACCAGTAGTTCTCTCCAGTTATCCATCTTAATGGGTGGAGTGGGAACATTCCTACCATTTTCATAGATGGAAAACATGTAGCATATTCTAGTATTTTTCCTAACAGTGGATAATTAAAATTCTGTTTCACAGATCATTAATTGTAGGATTATCTGGATCAGTTTTTCATTTTGATATAAATAATCTGAAGCATATACCGTTGTCATTTGAAAATGTTCTGTAATTTAACTTATTATTGATGACTTGTATAGGCCAGTTTATAGTCCCCAGGTATTTAGGGGCAATAAAATGAGTAGGTCTGTTAAGCAGTCTGAATTTGAAATTTTGTTAAAGAAATACACAAACAGTAATAACTCACAAAGAAATGACCAAAATAGGCATAGATGAAGTTATCTGATTCTCATGACGGCCATGTTAAATAGTGAGACTCAATAGAAATGAGTGTTCTCTTAATTCTAGTAATGGGGAATATTTGTAAATACTAGGAACAAGCTAAATCTTTGAGATTATTTTTTCGTCACTTTTTTTCTATGACTCCAGAATTCTCCAGTGAGAATTGAAAATACTCTTATCAGACTGTTTTGTGTAGTAGAAGAAACCCTGAATTTGGTCTTAGAAAAGCGAGGTCAAATTCTCAGTTTGCCAGTTATATGCTCCTGAATTGCTATTTGGGGCTCTTTGAGCCCTCAGTTTCTCATTTGTAGAAGGCAAGGATTAAAACAACTTCCCTACAAAGGGTTCTTAGCATCATGTTAGCTAATCTATGTGTAAATTATAAATCACTATATAGAAGTAGTAGTTATTAAATAAATCCAAAACCCTGGCCCTGGGCTGGATAGAATTCTTAGACATTTACTCCATGTACGTGATAATTGAATGAGCAGAGAATCAGGGATGCGAAGTGACATTCCCAAGGTCTCATAGTTAGCTAAATCTCTCAACTCTAGACTGTTACTCTTTTTATTATCTTAATTCTTGACCTTAGTCCCCCATCTTTGTGGTGAAAATGTTTTTCTAGGATTGCATTTGTTATGAATAACTGACTATTTAGAAGTATATTGAGAGAAAATGAGAAATGGCACTTTTCAACCTGTAATTTTACAAGTTACTCATTTTCCCCATGAAAGTAAAACATGTTTTTACACAAAGGAATATAAAATGATATTTTACATATTGAAAGTGAGAGATGAAGAAACCTTCCCAAACCTATCAGACTCTCAGAAAGGCAGTTCCTAAAATGTCTCCAAATTGTATCTTTTTTAAAATTTGGATTTTTACTTAAAATTTTATCTAATTAAAAATTAGATCTGGAGCAGTGGCCTTTTTCAAGTTAGAAGACTGTAAGGAGTTGAATATATTTTACACTTAATTAAATTAAGTTGAGGGACATTTTAGGCTAGAACTATATACTCTCATAACCTGCTAACCCATTATCATTGAGATTTTGAATGTTTTTAAATTATATCCTAACTTGGAGTTTTAATTTGTCTAAATCCCTAAGACTTAGACAGTTCAAAAAGATTCAAAGAATTTTTTTCAAATATTTTCATTCAAATAATGAATTTTCAGAGAACATATTCTTAAACTGTCACAACCATGTGATAGATACTGTTTGTCTATCAGAGTCAGATGATCTGTTAGTCACTGATATTGTGCCCGGTGTTTGAATTATCTTTGGCTTTATACCCTTGCACAAGTGGAAAGCTGTATCAAAGCTTCACTGATATATTACTGTTCACTTAGATTATTTATTAAGTTTCCAAGAATAATTTGCATTTTCTTTATAGTTTTAGAGAAATCTACAGCTATTTTGGAGTAGTCTGTGACTGAATGTACTAAATAATCCAGTTAAGGACACACACTTTGTTAAAGCAAGAAAGGTTACTGAAGGTATGATATTCAAATTGGTTGTCTTTGTATGCCTTTATGAAAAAAAAAGTGTTTTATTGAGAAAGCCAATGTAATATTTTTATGAGAAAGTAGAATCATTTGGGTAGGTTATTTTCTTAAGAGGAAGTGTGTTTATTTTATTTTGGAACACAGTGGCTAAGAAAATTAGAATCAATGGCTTCACTGATCTTACTTGCTTTTCCTTTTCATTTTGCTAAATTCTCCAGTAACTTATATTACTGAGGGAGTTACTATTTTCATTTCATCCTTAAATGTTTTGTGTTGCTTTGAGAAACTCACAGTAATTTAGTTTCACATTGTTATTGCATTACAAGTGTAGCTAATGTTTAAAATGAATGGAGTATTATAGTCTTAGCACTGGATGTACAGCCTACAAAAAAACCTTTGTGAGCTGATTTTAGCAGTATTTTTTCTAAGCACTTCTGCCAGAAACAAACGCGAAACCTTACATATTTTAATATTAGCCTTTTTTATTTTAGATGCTTCAGCTGTGTTTAAAATCTGCCAAGTTACAGCCTTTTAAAGCATTTCTGTGTCTAGATGTATCTTCACAGTGAAAATTATTCGATGTTTAAGTTATGCTTCTTTCCTATTTCTGTCTTCTCATTTCATCCACAGACTTATAGAGTTGATTTCAACAACTGAATTCTTACAAACAAAATCGATGTTACAATACTTTCATTGCAAAGTAAGTGCCATTGAATGTCAGGGATATATGCTAGATTCCTGTTTAAGAAGATTTCAGTCCTTTAAACAGGCTACAAATACTTTGGATTTATTTCCATATTTAGGAGTCTGACATTATTTCATCACAAATTTCCAAAATTAATGCTGCTGCATCGAACTGTGAAAAGTGGCTCTCCTTAAAAATTGTTACTTTATCTTACCCTAGTTACATAGGCTAGAGCCTTTTTACCCATAATAAATTTTAACTGATCATCCTTTTTGTACTTTTTAAATATTTGGATTGATGAAAATAATTCATTTCTGTTATCCAGTATTTTCTGATTCTGTGGACACTTCTGTGGAAACCAATTATGCAGGCTCATGTGCAGTAGAGAAATATGGAAAATAAGTGCCCGTAAGTGAATACTCAGGGTAGAATTCATCATGATTATTTTGGATAATTGTGACATTCATGAAAAAGACACGGAGAAACTAAAATTGCCTGCTATCTGCCAGTCACTGTGTGGGACAATTATATATAATTTCTCTTGAACTAGAGAAACTAAATTATTGCAAGTCTCTCAGAGCAACACACACATACACATAAAAACCATTTAAGGATGACAGGAAAATAGAAATGGTGATATTTTACAAATAAACTCAAACGCAAAGGCTTAAATCACTTACCCAAGATCATGGAACTAGTAAGTGGTGTTGGTAGGATTCTTTTAGATCCAAGGAAAACTACTTTCTGTTGGGAAGGAGAACAATTAGAATGCGATGGATGCATTCAGAACTAGGGTGTGGAATACAGGTAAAATACCTAGTCTAAATACTGCTTGCCCTGATATGGCCTCAAATCAGTGAAGACACCAAGTTCTCCTGTTACCTCATAAAACTGGTCATTTTATGATGATGAAAATGATAATGAGTAAGATTAACAAGGTATGTTGATGCTAGATTGAGTAGTCACTGTTGCAATTTGAAGACACATAAAGTAAAGTGCATAGGGCAGTTCCTGGATACAAGGTTGGTGTACACATTTAAGTCTACTTGGGGCATCAGGATCTTGGTATAGATGACACATTGCAGTGTCTGATCCCCAGTTTGTAGTTTATAAATTTTAAATAGTAAACATATATCTTAATGGAATCCAGAGGATAGAATTATTCTAACCAAATCCACAAACTAGAATGCCAATTTATTAATAATACTACCCGTAATCTGGTTCCCCTTGTTTATACTAATCGACATTGTATTAGTCTGCTAGGGCTGCTGTAACAGAATACCATAGACTGGTTGACTAAACAACAAAATTTATTTTCTCACGGTTCTGGAGTCTGGAAGTCCAAAATTCAGGTACTGGCAGGGTTGGTTTCAGATGAGGCCTCTCTTCCTGTCTTTTAGACGGCTACCCTCTTGTGTCCTCACATGGCCTTTCCTCTGTGTGCATGCAGAGAGAGGTCTCTGGTGTCTCTTTTCACCTCTTATAAGGATACCAGGTCTATCAGATTAGGGCCTCACCCTTCTGACATCATTTAACTTTAATTAACCTGTTAAAAGGCTTCAACTACAAGTACAGTAAACACATTATTCAAATAGCATGTGGAGTGTTGTCATGTTTCTCTGTTCAGTTTTATGCAGTAAGAGAGGCAAAGCAGAAGTATGTAATGTATCACTGGATTTTATTTTGCTTTATTAGCTCCTCAAGAGTTTTTGATCTATGAAATGGCAGAGAATGGAAAAAATTGTGACCAGAGACGTGTAGCAATGAACAAGGAACAATATAATGGAAATTTCACAGGTAAGTATGGTGGTTTGAAGGGAGATCTATGGGTTTAAATGATATCCTTTTAATTGGAGTAAAATAAAAATATATCTAATATTTATTATCTTCTGTTAATAAAATAATATTTTCTATAATATAAGATATATAAGATTCTTATATAAGATTAACTATAATTATTTACTCTTCATAGTAAATTATATTGTGAGTCAGGGCCTATAAGGTGATTTTTCACAGTAACAGCAGAAGTAGCCTGGCCATGGTCACTTTAGCAGTGTTCTAGGTACAAGATTATTATTTGTTAATCTTATGGTATGATAAGTATTTATTTGATGCTCAATTTTGTCATGCTATTTTGTAACTTTAGAAGTAGATTATAAATTTACTTTTTACACTAATCCTAAATATACAATTATCAAAAAAGTCAGAATGTGATTATTTATAGTGGATTTATTTTAAAATTGTAGTTCGAAACAGATAAATTTACATTTTAACCAAATTAGAAATTTATGGTAAATTTCAGTATATTTAACTCTTACTCATACATCATTGAAAATTACAGATTTTATTTATATAGATGATCTAAGTAGGAACTTTATGTGTTTAAAGGAAAATAAAAGGTTTTCCTTTTCTGATAATTATGTTTTTTTTTTTTAACTTCTAAATTGTTTGACATCTCAAACACATCTTAAATAATACTCCAGCCTGGTAGTATTATATCATAGAAATTTTCTTCTGTTGGAAGAAGTGTAAGCTGTCTAAAATAGTAGTTTCCATTTGTTTGTTGGAATCACTGTATTCCCTTACAGAACACATTTTGCAGCACTTATTTGGAAGTGAGTTACTCTGATTGCTGATAAATTTTGCATTTTTTCACCAAGTTTCAGGATTCAGAGATAAGCAGTGCATATGTCATAATCTCTTTTCATTAGTAGCTTTTACATGTTTTTTTTTCCCCTTTCTTTCAATAAACACATACATTTATGTATCCTTTCCTTACCCCCCAATCCCTTGGAATTTAAAATTAATGTTAGTATGACACAGTCCTCTTTACTGCGTTTTTTTTCTTTTTACTTAATATTTTCTAGAGATTGTTCTATAACTGTACATGAAGAACTTACTGTTTATTATGGCTGCTTGGTATTCCATTGTACCATGCTTTAATCACTCTGTCCTCTGTTGGTTAGCATTCAGTAATCTTTTGCTAGGAGAAATAATGCTTCACTTCACTGAATAAGCTTGTACAAAAGTCATTTCACCTTATACCTAATCATTCTTAGAAATGGAATTATTGGGTTATAGGGTACAGTAGTCGCCCATTTCCTTGGAATGGAGGATACGTTCCGAGACCCCCAGAGAATGACCGAAACCATGGATAGTACTGAATCCTATATATACTGTATTTTTTCCATACATACTTACACTTTTCTTTGGCATATCCAAATTGCCAGCATCACTACTTTTGCACTTTGGGGCCTTTATCAGGTAAAGTAAGGATTACATGAAAACAAGCACTGCAATACCACAGTCCATCTGATAATCGGTACAGCTACTAAGTAACTAATGGATGAGTAGTGGACAAAGCATGGACAGAAGGATGATCCACGTCCCAGGTGGGACAGAGCAGTTGGTGAGGTTTCATCATGTAGCTCAAAACAGCACACAGTTTAAAACTTATAAATTGTTTATTTCTGGAATTTTTGTTTAATATTTTCAGACCAAGATTAATCACGGGTACTGACAACGCAGAAAGTGAAACCTCATATAAGTGGGGACTGCTCTATGCATTTGTAATTTCGATAGATGATGACAATAATAACCTTAATTGTATACTTACTAAATATTAAACGTCTGAGAACTTTACATATATTAACTCATTTAATCTTTATAATGACCTTAAAAAGTGAGTACTGTTTTTTTCTTGATTTTAAACTGAGGCATAGAAAGGTTAACTGACTTGTCCAAGGTCACAAGACTAGTAGATGGCAAAAGTCAGGATTTGGAACCAAGTAATGTGCCTTCGTATTTTGCTGTACAACATGATGCTGAATTGTTCTTCATAAAAAATGGGATAATTTAATATTCCAGTAATGTACAAGAATAGAACTCATGTCCTGACAATAAAATGATTGCATAAATAACGTTAAGAGCAGAGCAGAAGCACCTAGCCCATTGTCACAGTGTGAGCCACATTTTTTTTTTTTTTTTGAGGTTTATGTGCAGTTTTTCAAATCTGTGATGGGACGGTAGATTAATTTTGAAAGTGATTGGAAAAAACGAGTGAACATTTTGTTTTAACTTCTGCACTAATGTTTTTCAGACCCCTCTTCAATGAATGAAAAGAAGAGGAGGGATCGGGAAGAAAGGCAGAATATTGTCCTGTGGAGACAGCCACTCATTACCTTGCAGTATTTTTCTCTGGAAATCCTAGTAATCTTGAAGGAATGGACCTCAAAGTAAAGAGTCTCCCATTACCTTTTATATAAACCTTATTTACTAGTTTTAGAAATCTTCAGCAATCTCTTGCTCCCTGCCACCTGTTTTATTAAAATAGACTAATTAAATTTAGAGCGTTATAGGAATGCATTTATTTTCCTTTCTATAGTTTGAAGAAAAGCAGATCAAAAACATACTGCTATTTGCTCACTGGATTATTTACAGTTGACCACTGTCTTGTGTTGATTCTTTTATGCAAAGGAGAACACTGAAAATGAGGTTTTTTTTCTTCTGGTTTTACCTTCAGGAGAATTCATTCCTGTGTACATTAGGCACACTGTAGGACAAGGTTCAGAATACGTGGCACTTTTACTGATAATTTGAGCCAATGAGGAAGGACTCTGCCAAGAAAATGTGTTCTATCTTTAAATTTAGTACTTGTAAGCCTTGTTTCAGATATTATACAGGGCAAGTTGAACTTTTACATGCCTTATCATTTTCTGGCTTCCTTTCCAAGTTATCTGTAATATTATCCTGCATTTTTATTGTACTTATAATGAAAATTGTAAGTACATTTGTAACATTATAAAAACATTTTGTAACATTTTTCAAAATTCAGTTGATCTTTAAAGAAGCTCCACGAAAAACATAAAACAAGTATATGATTATTATGATTTTAAAAACAAGAAACAGAATCAGATTGGTTAAGTGTCTTACTCAAAGTGCAGTATTTAAGGGACTGTGACCCAGGTCTTCTGACTGGAAGGCCAGTGCTCTTTCCATTATATTGTAATGCCTCTCCCAATTAGAAGTTGTTGAGTGTAAATAAGATCAGTCTCTGGACAAGGGAAAGACTACCATGGGGTTTTTGATAAGAAATTGGGTTCTATACCCATGTATTTTCCTTTGACCTTTTTCTATACCCCAAGAGGGCATAGTGTTTAAGGACAAAAGAGCTCATCCCAGAAAGAACCGATTCTATAGCTGAGCTAAATAACCTAACTGCTTCAACAAGAAATTGTTTTGAGAATGATGAATCCTGAAAATGAAACTGAGATAATTTTATTTTTTTAAATATGTTTTTAAGATTATGGCATCGGCAAAACCTTGTGGTGTCTTCTTTACTGCTGCTTGCTATGCTTATAGCTACGTATTATGTTGAAGGAGCACATCAACAGGTAAGAGGTCCAGCAATTCTGCTTCTATTCTTGTACCTTCCCTAATCTCAAATAGTTTCAAACTGGGACAAGTGAACTTCATAGAATTCCTACCCTCAATATATTTAGGCTTGGTTTTGTTTTTCTGTTTATCTCATAACTGATATCTTAATGTTTTACTTTTATGGCCAAATATCAGAAATATAGCTGCTCAGCATTCATACTGGGTATATGTCATTCCTTTTTACCTTCAAAGATGTAAATGTAACTTTCCTGACAATGTTTAGTCAGAGCAGCATGAATCTTTTACTCACTACCAAAGTCATTGTATTTTCTTTAACATACTCTGTGATCCATCCAAACAGATATACTCATCCTAGATTGAAGGTTAAGTTTTATATAGAGAGATTCATTTGCCTGTAGGCAAATGTACAACATAACTGAAGGGAAAATAGGACATTTTGTTAATAACTTTTGTTAAAATAGCAAAACAATGTATTGTAATAGGATAATGTTCTAAAATGGTATCATTTCATATTTTAAAGCAATGTACCTTTAATCTTAGAGAAGTTTTACTAGTTTAAATGCATTTCTTTTAAATATTTTAATAGAAATCTTTATATGCTATTAAGAGTTTACAGGCAACTGGCTTGATGAATTTACTTACCAGTATGAGAAACTAGACTAAAGTCTGGTATTCTTCCAACAAGCCCATATTCCAGTGGACTTCAGTTTGCTCTTGTTTGAAAAGCATCTTGATCTTAAATACAAAAATAATTTTATTCTCATTTTTTACTTGGATAAACAAGAATACATTCTATTCACAAATATATAAATAGCTCCCCCCTTACCACTGTATATTATCATGCTTTCTTAAAGTTTTTATAACTTTTAAATATCTTTAAATTTTTCATTCTTATAGTTATCTTATTAGTAATTTGTATTGTTTCCTATTAAATCATTGCAGTAATAGGATTTTAAGGGTCTAAGAGAAACAAGAGCTTAATTCCAATTAGGCCAAAGAGTTTTAATCTTCATACTTTCTTCCTTTTGGAAACTTATTTAGTTGGTTTATCTTCTTTTGATTGTAGTTAATAAATATCACATTTCTGTTTAAGAATTCTTTTTTTTTTTTACCTCATCCCTTTTGTTTTCCAGTATGTGCAGCGTATAGAGAAACAGTTTCTTTTGTATGCCTACTGGATAGGCTTAGGAATTTTGTCTTCTGTTGGGCTTGGAACAGGGCTGCACACCTTTCTGCTTTATCTGGTAAGAATAACTTTTAATAAGCAAGATTGAGATAGATTATGTTTTAATTGGTGCTTTTACTTCAAAAGTTAAAATTCTAAGATTTTTATTTAATTACCTTTGACTTTAGAAGCATTCTAATCCTAAAATCAGTGCTTTAAGTTTGATTTAGAATTCTGTTTTGTTTTCCCTTTTCCTTTTGGGTTGAGGATTTAAAAAAAGAAGGGGGAAAACCCTTAGGCAAATGAGATTGTTTCCTTAATTCAGCCAGGAAACATTTTTTTCCTTTTGAGATTTTAGAATAACGGTTCTCAGTGCAATTGTTGTTTTAATAATTGAAGCAATTTCAATGCATAAAATTCCATGTAAGGCTTAGAATTACTTTGGACAGTTTACTTTCTCTGTTAATAAGCACGTGAAAAACAGTGCCTTCTCTCACACACTGTGTACATACTTGAATAGTTATTTTGATATTCTTACTGAATGTAGTTGATGAAGTATTATTACATATGAAGAACTAAATGCTTTCTTAAACTCTTTTAAACCAAAGTATAAAATATACTCCTTCTAAAAATTATTTTTTTACTGAGTTGAAATTCAAGAGATAGGTTTTCCTTTGAACACTGGCAAGTATACTGAAATAATAGCAGAACTATGACCAGGGAATGTCTAGTGAGACATCTAGGGCACAGATTTATTTTATTTAATTTTTTATTATTTTTTTTTTTCCTAGGGCACAGAAATAAGCACTTTCAGGGTCCTATCAGTTTGGGGTTGATGAGTGAGTGCCTCATTAAATTTTGTGCCCTGGGTGTCTCTTTTGTTTTATTTCTGTCACTGAATATATTGACAGCAATTCCATATTTGAAAACAGCTTGAGGGAAAACAGGCGAAAAGTTGTCATAGCAGTACTGATTGCTGAATAAAGTTAAACACTGCAAATACTTCCAATACCTATGCTTTAATTAATTCATTTCTGAAGCAGCTATGCTAAATATTAAGGAGTTATTGTTTCAAAGGCTGCTGTATTAATGGCCTGAAGAATAATTTGAAAATTAATCTGTAATATACAACTTCTTCAAGTTTATGAGAATTTAAAACCTGGAATTTTAGAATTCTTTTTGTGATTGCTTGCTGATTTTATCCTTATAGAGATATAAATCCCAAGGGAGTAACCCATATCAATATTTCTTTAATAACTTTATTCTTAGAAATATAATGCTATACTAAAGGTTGAAACAGAGGAGAAAAGAAGGAATTACAGGTTACAGGTTACCTTTCTGTTCTTTTCTTGACCTGTCCTCAGTTTCCTTGGGAAACCCAGGTTAAGGAATTCTTTTGTAGCATTGGATTAATTTGGAAGTATCTAAAAGCAATACAGCAGAT